TCGAAAGTACCGATGTTTGAATTTCCGCAGTCTTTTGTATATTTTGGTGTACAACACTCGCGTAATTCCTTGACTATGGAACTCACACGTGGGCAAAAGGAGTGCTCATGCTACTTGTAAACAAGTTGAGCTCATATCAAATACTGCTTCATCTGCTCGTAGAATCAACAAAGCCTACGGTAAAGGCTTGGTCGCAGGGAGAACTATTCGAGAAAATTTGTTGCTCATTTTGTTTGGTTTTGTTAATAAACTCTAGCATGAAATGAAAATGGCGGAACATTTCTGCTCAACCGAATACAAAAGCATGGGGCTTCGCCAGGACCGCTTCAGTCGCTTCCTTTCTCGCCGACAACATGCGGGTGTCTGCGCCCTCTCATCCCTTTTGCTCTCTCACTCATCTCCTCTTCTTCTACCGTGCCTACTTTCTTTCTCATTGCAACAGAAAAAGAAATGATGGAACCCTCATTTCAGAATTTCGAAAGGTTTCTTCCACTACCTACTCACTCGCCACCGTTGCTATTATTTTCGTGTGCAGGAATCACACCAATTTAATCGTTTAGCGTGCATAGAAAGGTCAAAGACACAACCCAAGCAGAGGTCGTGTGAACGCTTCCTTCGGTCTGTAGTATAGACCCTAGAGGACAATCACAAATGTGGCGTTCCCGTGCACGGAAACCAACCGACAAGAGCGCTTGGGCCTTGCAAAGTAAGCTGCTGAAGCTGCAGATTTTTTCTCTTATCAGGCTGTTGTCTGGCGCTCTCTCATCTGTAGCGCTCTCTCGCCTCATACTCTCCTCTCCGCGCTTAGTCTCTCATTCCCTTAGCACAGCCGACTAGGAAGGTGAGTGAGCCCTCCACCTAAACGTTTCCTACGGATTCTTTCGTGATCCTGGGGCATGCATTTACCCATTTTTATATGGATTCCTTTGACGTATAAATGACTGCAGAGTTTCGATTTCAGCGCGTTCAGTGATGATGATGCTCTTTGTTTTCTCTCTCCACATGAACTGCAAGCAAAGGATGGATCCATGATAATTCACTGTTTCCTCTCATGTGGTAAAAATGACAGAATAATGAACAATGGTTGCGTGATGGAAGTATTGACTCACTCATTGTCAGCTCAAACCGTTTTGGAAGTTTTGGAAGTTGCTTTGATTGGAAAATTTTAGTTTCTTCCAAAACATCGTCCCAGACGGTGTTTGACCCTTCTCCGCAGTTTTCTTCCATAGAGCGATCGATTACGAAATTAAGGATGCCGAAGTGACTGAAAAAAGTAAGCAAGCCGAACCGCAGGTGGAGCTCTAAACAAGGGTCCCGTCTCATTTTCCTTGAAGCAAGGAAGGGGCGGAGCCGAGCGAGTTGTACCATCGTTTTTCTCCAATGTTAGAGGTCTCGCGCACTCCTTTACAGGTAACAGGTAATCGCCAGAGGACGAAGGCACGTATGAGTGGGAGGCTCAGCTCTCTAGTGGGGCGAGATAAGAGAAAAGAAATTAGAGCGGACGAGGGCTTTGTTGCAATTCTGTGTTGCCGGTCGCATTCGCACCTAGGAAGCTCACGCGTTCCTCTACAGGTTACGTGGGTTTCCCCCCTCGCGGTCACCGATTCGCAACACCTTGATTTTTCGTAGTCAAAGATGTCCTCCAACCAAGAGAGTTTCAGCAAAGGAATCACATTACATTGAACATCTCTGCAGAGCCCTGCATGCGACGAAATTCGCACGAAGTTCCTTGCCAGCTGAGCTGCCTAGAGATCATTGCGTTTGGAAAGTGGCCACCTAGAGTTCCCCACTCAAATCTACTGGTTTACGCTGTACGAAGAGTGGTGAAGACGAGCACCTGCTGCTGACATCATGGAGACGTTCAATGGATTCAAGAAACCGCTTCATAATGCCTGGAACGCACTGGAGGCCGTCCATCAACACGCCGAGGTCAGCTCATTCCCTGGAAGACTTCACCCTTTTTCAAAGCGGATAGGGGCTACTTAGAAGACGAATGCGGTTTTTCATTCATTAACCTTCAGTGAACATATTTTTGTTTCCCCAATTGCCTTTTTTAATTGCACAAATTTCCCGTGACCACTTCATCTTGTTACCGTAATTTGTGACCAACATGTAGAAAGGGTCCTTGTTTCATGGATTTCGAGTGATTTTTCATGATTGTTTCTCCATCCCTTGACCACTGACCACCTCTACACTGATTTTAATGGGCTGCCTTCTATCGTAGCCTCGTCTAGGCTTGCTATTAGTTATTCAGAATCGAATTAGTCAGAACCATCGAATTAGTTTTTATCAATACGACCAAACTTATCCCTTATCACACTTTCTCCCTCTACGCCTTCGCTGGTCGATATTGTCTGGCACCACATCACTAGCTCCAACTCAACAACCAAGACTACTTCACTATCATTGTTGGCCCATCCGCGCTCGAAGGCTAGCCGTTGTTGGCACGCTCCCTACAGTCGAGGCTAGTAGTCAGTCCTCTGACTTCTGGTTGGCAGCCGGCGGCTTTCACAGGGCAACGCGAGGAGGCTGCCCCAAAGCAAGAAAAGAGCGTCCCCCTCCGAGCCCCAGGGTGGAGGAGTACCCGTCTTGAGCGTCCTTCCCCGCTCCCTTTCTGGGATTGGTTGTTGGCCCTTGCTTGGACACTGTTGGCCGTATAGAGCTCCCGGAGGGATGCGAGTTGGACCTCTTGTGGAGAAATAAAAGAAATAAATCGTCAGAATATAGAAAACACAGAACCTTTTGCTCTATGCCGCGGAGAAGTGAAGTAGGAGATAACGTGAGTCGCAGAGGGGACAAAGAAGTAGGAGCCGAGAGAACATAGCACGTCAACATTACAACACAGATAAGATTGAAGAGCGGGCAGGCAGGGATCGTTCTGGGTGTAGGAGGATTGAAGACTTGAGCGTCTAGCGTCTTAGTGACGCGTTTAAAAGCGGGAAAGTGGCGCGACCACCGCTGCGGTGGACCTCGCACCTCTATCCACGGCAAAGACTTCTTCGATGAAGCTCACCCTCGCCTTTAAATTCCGGTTCATTCTCAGGTAAATCAAGATGTGTGACTCTTCACTACACACACGGTGCAGAGCGTGCTCAAAACGCCGCGAGCGATTCGGAACCATACACTTCCCGAAACTTATTGCTTAGCATAACTGTGAATGATACACGCCATTTTTGAATACAACTTTGCTCTAAACTAGTAAGGTGCAATGGGATTGTTTTCTTACGTGTAGCATAACATCATGGTGAAACCGGTGATAAATTTGCAGTGCTATTATTTTTATGGTGGTTAAAATAGATATTGAGCCACGCGGTTTTTATTTTGTCCAGATACGATATAGGAGTATATCTTCCTCTCACTGAATATCCAAAACAATAATCACTAAGTGTTTATTGATTCACTAATATATCCAAAGAGCACCTCTCGTATGAGTCTTGAGTCCCAAAATGAGTTACAAAGTGAAAGGAGCCTGAAATGTTTGATTAAAAGCCTGATTCACAATCTGAGTAGCGGTAAATGGAGTCTCAGAAACCTCAGGAGTCCCAGAAGCCCCGGAAGAGACAAAATTGAGCGAAGAGTCTAAAATACACACGAGCAGGAACCGAAGTTCGGAGAGAGCAAGAAGGAGAACCCCCTAATGAGTCACTACCGCTCTTATATACGGAGTCGCTGGCGCAGCTTTCTGAGAAGCCAAAACAGCCAGCTGCGCGCTTTTTTACCGCGCTGCGCCAGCGACCCTTACATTCCAATACATTGAATAAAAACAAGTTACATATACAACATAAAGATCGCGCACATTTCCGCGATAGTGGTTATGCGGCTTGAATGTGTTACACACCCCTCCAACACATTTTCGCTCCCTATGTAGAACAGATCTGTGCTCTGAACAAACGATATGAAGGAAAAGATCACTCTGATCATTTATTCATCCAGAAAGATTCAGGACAGGACAACGAGGCCACCTTTGAGTTTTGCCTTTTCGAAGCAGGCAGGCGAATTGAAATTTTTTTAAAATCACGAAATTATTTATCATCACCTATATCGCAATTTGGGCAAGACCTTCTTGACTTCCTCTGGGACTTTCTTTAGCGTACAAGCACTTTTGATTTTTGCCTTGTTTCGTAATTATAAGGTAATGCTGAGAAAATGAGTATTACATTATGAGAAACAACAAAACCTGAGTTCAACTGAATATTTAATACAAGCACATCCATAAACATCTCAAGAAATCTCGTTTTTCGCCTTATAAAGAAAAGGACAGGTCCACATGTTTTTTGGTGCTAGCCTCGGTATGTGAGCCATTGCGAAGCAGTTTGGGGAATCCCTCGCTCCATTCGTAGATATTTGAGATAAATGAGAGTGTGTTGTTCGGTTTTCAAAAGGAACGATCCATTTTGAGTTAAGCTAAGTTAAGTTAAGTTTTTAAGGTTAGGAGGTTGGGAAAATATGTATGTGAGGGACTATTGTTTTGCCTTCATCCCATCCTCTATTATTCAAAGCATACTGAATTGTGTTGACCCTTCCAGCACAGCTGCAATAGGCATTAACCAGAATAGATTCTTCTTGGTCACGACCTCATGTGGGGTTGCTCCTTTGGGTGCCTTGGAAGCGAACGAGTACAGCTGCGACTATGCTCACGTTCATTAGCAAGCCTTGCTCTCTTACGAATGTGTCATGGACAACTTGGAACGGAAAACGCTGGAAATATGTATGTTGATCAACATAGATGATACAGGACAGAGCAATTTATGTAGAATTCGACCTCTCTACGGTAATCACTCAGAAGAGAGGACATGGTTTCACAGGCCGACAATGAGTTATGAATCTTACTAAAGAAGTTCTAAAATTGAGGTGAGAGTTAATTTTGCTATTGCTCATGAACGAGTTCAGTATACCCTTTCAAACTGGCTTCTTGTGTATCGTAAAAAAAAAACTCGATCCCTATGAAAAGACTGAAAGAGAAATTGCCACTTCAATAGTTTATTGAATAAGGGTAAGATTCAGTAAACTTCCTGATACGGGCAAAGTCCCTTGTACAGATACGCTGTTGTGCAGATGTCAGGACATTCACCGCACATTGGGCCGACGTCATAGATAGTGAAACCAAGTATGTTGCCACTGAAAGCACTCAAATTAATTTATTTCAGGTAGTATTCGCCAAGCATTTGACTTCCAGTTAGAAATACAGATATAGTCGAGTGCTAATGAGAACTATGTAGAAGAAAATGTATGTACTAAAAAAAACTTGTTAAGCTCATACTGATCTCTTCGCCTTTATCTAGCTGTAAATACTTTTCGTCCATCAACGGGAACTATCGAATGGAAAGCCTAATGACGCCAAAAGCTACTCAATTCTTCCGACTACAACACGGAAAAAAAGTTGAAATTCAAAAAAAAAAGATTTACGGTGTATTGTAGCGGCACACAACGGCGTAGTAGTTTCCACAAAGCTTAGCACCACAACCGAATTCGTAGGTATTAGCCCATGCCATCTGAAATGCCGTGTTTGTGAATATGGAAAGAGCAGGACCTTTCTATTAGAATTGTCCCATTTTCCGGCGTAGGTTTGACGCACGGTATTTGCCCATTAAAACGAACATACTACGTGTAACATCCCACTGAGATTGTCGTTTTCCTGTCTCTTATTTTATCCTAATGGATCTTGTCATTCTTCAGATTTTTTTAAAATTTATCGGGCAGCTGAAGTCGTTCGTGAGGGCACACTCTTTGATGAACCTACCGCATGAACAATCAGGAGTCATTGCGGTTGGATGCAACCGGACAAGGAAAGAAACGAAGATATTGGAGCGGTTATGCATACAGCCCCTGTCTAGCTGGGGGTGAGCTCTGCGATGGCATGGACACGTGCTAAGGTGGTCCAAAATCACCGTACATGGAAATCGATGGTCTTTAAAGCTCAAGGCAAGCGACCTTCGAAGTCCCTAAAGAAAAGGTGGAGGGACGTCATCAATAAGAGCTTGCGTGAACTAGGAGCCACGGCAAAAGATGCCCTGGAAGACCAACTGATGGCGTCTTGCAAGGACGACGTACCTACGACCGCAGGATTCACGGCTAGGTAGAAGAAGATACGGAAGCTGTCGCGTGCTATGAATGGCAAGGATCAGGAATAAATTGATGTGGTCGTCCTGCTCGAATATCAAAGTAAGGATGGGAGGTGGACTGCAAGTGTAGAAAGAAGGAATAAAAACCCAGCAAATACGAGCCTTCTTGTTCAACGCTGTGATGTCAAGAGGCAGTCACGGAGATGAGAGATAATGTGAGTCGCGGAGAGGGTAGAGAAGTCCGAATAGAGAGAGCATAGCAGATCAACATTGCGACGCAGATGAGATCGAACGGTGGGCAAGCTCTGATTCTCCTTGGTGGGACTGATCCAAGTCTTTAGTGCCTAGCATCCTAGTGACGCGTCTCGCTGCACGAAGGTAGCACGACCTCTGCAGAGGCAGAACACACACCTTTATCCACGGGAGCGACTTCCTGAGTGAGACTGAGCCCGGACCTTATCTTTGAAGGAAGATTTCACGATAAGAAAGAAGGTCAAAAAGGAGTAATTTACCTAGTTGAAAGACAAGCGGACATCAACATGGCCTTCCCCTTGGCGCAGTTGGCTCGGAGCGACTACCCACCAGGGTCAGTCCTATCGTTGTTACTTTTTCAAAAATTTTTACGACCCCCCTCCCCCAAGGTGGATTTGGTACGACCCCCTTTTCGACCCTCGACCACCATATTCCTCTCTATAGTATTTAATTCTGGTACCACTCAACCCACCAAACTCCGCCCACTTTTTCCTCCAAAAAATGCCGTCGAGCGGGGGGGGGGGGGGGGGGGGGTATATACCCACTCTGAAACAGTAAAAATTTACCAAAATTCCCTAAATTTCAACCAATTTACCCCACTTCTACCTATAATCCCACTGCTTCATTTTCTAGGGGGGTATATACGCGCGCTGAAACGGCGAATTTTTCTCCCGTGCGCTCCCAACTCACCTAGCCTACTACTCGTGAAAACTCCACTTTCACCACAAACTCACATGTACTTTCACGCGACTGAAGCGGATACGACCCCCTCCTATAAACTCAACCAGGTACGACCCCCCCCGTTGTTACTAGTAACAACGTAGGGTTGACCCTGCTACCGACTATCTGATCACTCGCCGCAGGTCTATACGTGGCGAGTGATTAGATAGCAGAGAGAGCGTAGTGTTGAAGAGGGCACAGCGATGAGAGTCGCATCAATGCGCAAATCAACGGGCAAGGAAGGGGTCCCATTTCTCGGGTTCCGAGCCGTTTCACATTTCGTTTCATGGTTTCTTCTTCATCCCTAATCCGCGAGCCACCTCTACCCCTATTTCTAGTGAGTCACCTTACCATCGTAGAATCTGCCTGTAATGTGAATGGTGCTTCGGCAGTGAAAAAGGTGGCACAGTGGTCTGGGGTGCAAAAGATATAGATGACTCCTAATTCAAGACAAAGTGCTCTGCCCATAACTCAGTATCTTTGTTAGTGCTTGTGCTCATTTCTCGACGAGCTAAATTCTTATCGCATTGGTAGAAACATATTTGAGGATAAGTCTTCCAGTCTGTCAACAATTTGCTTGACTGAACCATTGGCTGACATAGTCCGCTCAGTATATCTGAGTTCATCACCTTGATCAGGTGTCGAGGTGTGAGAGCGCATTTTGAATGGTTTGGAAGCTCAAAGCACTCCTACCACACGGCTTGCAAAGTGCTGTTACGAGGGGGGTTCGATTCATCCACATTAACTTCTCCATGTTCCTTTACGAGAACCTTTCCTTATTGTGCTATGATGCTTACCTGCGTAAATGGAAGCATGTCTTTTCTTTGAAGAAGCGTGTTCCTGACCACCATATCCTCGGTGATGCTCTGCGTTTTGATCACACGCCAGAAGGATTGTATTGCCTGAAAATCACTGTGTGTGCACAACGAAGTGGATCACGAAGAAGATGAGAATTCACAGAAAAAGACGCACTCTGAAAAGTGCTACGAGGGTTGAATCAGCTTCGCTGGTCGAAATCGTTGCAAAGTTTTCGCCTTGAGTACCGGAGCCCATGGATGGGCAGGTGTTCGCGTAAGCTTGAGCGGCGTGCTCCAATGTCAAGCTGTACGTCTGAAAAGCACCTCAGAATAGTGCATGACATGGAAAGGCTATTTTGAAAAAAATGTATTTTTACATGCTACAATTCATAAGATTCAGTCGGTACCAGAAAGTAGGTGGTATGAAGTACATCGACTCTACGCCATAAATAAGCGCTTACCAGGTTAAAAATATTCATTCCTTGGGGAAGCTTTTTGCCTGTCATACCGTTCGGGACTAATCCTTGGGCGAGTCTTGACCTGAAAGACAGACCACAGAGATCCCTTTAAGTAAACTCCTACTTGGGCCAAATCGCAACAAAAGTTAGCTTTGAGAATGAAACTTTGTCTTTGGTTTTTCCAATGAGGAAAAGCTGCGGATCTAGAGGCTGCCCTGATTTCTCAGTCTAGAACAGCGCTAGTGAGTAACTGCATTTCATTCACTTTCCTACTTGTATGTCCTATGTATGTATTGTTCAGTAATTTTTAGTTTTCCTGCAACTGCATTCAAAGTCCTCCTTCAGTGTTGAATCACAGTCGTTTTGATCGCCAGGGATTTCAGAACAAGGGAGAGGTGGGCCGCTGAGGGACATTGCTGCTTCAGTACGACTACTGCTTCAAAGGATATACGTCTGAGACCTCGTTTCTCTTCTAGGCCTATGTTTAGAATGAAGAGTTCTACCTTGCTCTACCTTAGTTGGATCTGAAGAATGACAGCGCCGGTTCATCAGGCGATAAAGTAGCAGTGGTAAGGTGGGCAGCTGCAATAGGCGTGGTCCCTAGACTCAATTCTGGACCAATTATGCTCACTACTTCTTCTACCATTTGAGGGTATTTCAATCGGTGACACACTTCTCTGAAAGGAGGAAAGCCCGAACTAAAGGCGGAGTTGACGAATAGGAGGCAACCCATGAGAACGAAAGTAGAGGAGGTCAGGGGTGCCAAGATGAAGAAAAGACTATGAGAAACGGCTCAGAACCCTAAAAATGGGAGGATCCCTTCTGTCATGACGTTCCGTCATGATGCGACGAAAGAAACCAAGGTGAATCCTTGACACGTCATCCTATTGATTAACTAACTCAAAACCGGCGTTCAAATTGCCGCTGGCCGCACTGCCAGCCATTCCAACGGACCGCCCCCTGGCCCGGGTATAAATACCACCCATTTCTGGGGGTTAAATAACGCACTCGGAGACTCCGGGCCAGTCTTCGCGGTCTTCGCCGGTCTCCTCAACTTCTCCAGTCGTCTCCAGCGGTCTCCATACAAGCGACTCCGGTCGCACCAATAACCTAAGGCGGCAACGCCAGCAATAACCAAATAATCAATAAGCACAAAGTAATCAATAAGGTACAGCCAGTGGCCCATCCACCGGCCAAGGCCACCAATCAATATCACTAACCAAGGACCACCAACTCACACCTCCAGCCACTACCGATCAATACCCTAAGGCACAAATCAATATTGAAGAACCCAATAGGAAATTCAGAATAAAGGCTAACCAAACATAACGCTAACTAATGTAGGAAATAAATTGTATAAGTTGTAATATAAGTCAACAATTGCTTTCTAGGAATTGTGGTATAAGAGATGTTAATAAATGTTAGTATTTACAAGTGTTGTTCAATAAAATAATTTAATAGAAGTCGCATCATAGGGCAATCTACCACTCTACCTTCGAAACACCTTCCTTGCCCGTTAATTTGCGACAGATGCAACTCCCATCGTTGCTGCCCTCTTCTACGCACGCTCTTTCTGCTTAACGGCTAGAGCGGCGGCGAGTGGTTAGCCAGTCGATGGGCGTGCCGCGCCGATAGCGCCGCGGGAGGGCCATGCTAGATCGCCGGGGGCATATCCTTCGCTGCCAACTGCGTGTCGGTCGCACTATTGCGGGGTCCTTTTGTCTTACCACTAGGTAATTTTCCCTTCGACCCAATTTTGGAATCCTTCTTCAGACAGGCTCTGAACCCGTTAATCATAGCATGTACACCCCAAGGCGCTGCAGTTTCTTATCAGCAATCCGCCAGTCTTACTGACCTACGACTGTATGTGATCATATCTTTATTTGAACGAACATACCTGCGATAATTGTGCATGTTGGTAATATTCGTGCGAATTATGTCTGTCATGGGATTATAAAAGGGTGTTGTTGTTGTTGATGCTTCTGTAAAAGTTACTTCAGTAGTCATGGCCGTTGGTTCACTTATCATAGAGGTATTTTCAGTCGTCATACCCATGGTCGTTTCTTCAGTCGTCATACCCATGGTTGTTTCTTCAGTCATACCCATGGTTGTTTCTTCAGTCGTCATACCCATGGTTGTTTCTTCAGTCGTCATACCCATGGTTGTTTCTTCAGTCGTCATACCCATAGTTGTTTCTTCAGTCGTCATACCCATAGTTCGTTTCTTCAGTCGTCATACCCATAGTTGTTTCTTCAGTCGTCATACCCATAGTTGTTTCTTCAGTCGTCATACCCATAGTCGTTTCTTCAGTCGTCATACCCATAGTCGTTTCTTCAGTCGTCATACCCATAGTTGTCTCCTCAGTTGTCATGGACGTCTCCTCGGTTGTCATAGTTGTTTCTTCAGTTGTCATAGACGATGCTTCAGTCGTTTCAGCCATTGTAGTACTCTCTTCTGTGGCCATTTCAGTGGTAGATGCAGAAGTGGCTTCAGTGGCAGATGCTACAATGAAAATCTTCCTATAGACACATAATTTTCCTAACTTTTGAAGCTTTAGCGCAACTCGGGCTTGATTTGATTTGATTTCCTAATTTTCTCACTTCTGCATCCTATTTGCGCACTTTCCGGCAGCCTGCACCATGTGTCGTAAACCGTTTGATTATGTGGAGTTAAATCAAGAAACCTAAACCTTAGGAGGAGGAGTCGTGTCGGAGAAATCCATTCTGTGGACGATACCGGAAGTCCACGAGATATGCCACAGGGGCTGACCATGATCGTCGATCCCGAAGAATGGCGCGACATACGCTAGGGCCTCGCAATCCAATGTCGACATATTATGAGGCTTAATGAGCGAGGACGACCTTCGAGTGACAACACCCATGATACGCCAGCCCTCGATATGGAACGGCGGCGTAGGGGCTAATTGAAAGACGCGCGGTTAGTGAAGCTATGGAGCAAGCAAGTTCGGACAACTCGTCCGGATACGCCCCTCCCTTACTTAAAGAAGAAGGGAGGAAGTCCTTGGTAAACAGCTACTCGACGATTTGTTTTGCTTCTTTTTCATTTATTTTTCGATAGGATGCGGTACTCCCACGACCTTACGTCTACTTAATCACGCTGGAAGACCACATCAAAACGGTTAGTGGAGCCGTTTAGCAAGCAAGTTTCAAAACTTCTCTGGCCCCGCCCCTTCCCTATTTCAAGGGGAAAAAAGACACATCTCTGTTTAAGGCTTCATTGGCGCTTTGTTTCTCCTTTTATGTTCAGTCCCCTCGGCCTCCACTATTCCTATCGACCGCTGTTACCCCACAATTTGACCCTTAAGGATTGGTTGCTGATCGAAAATGTTTCACGCCCCCGCGAGTGAACTCATAATGTTAGGGTGTTCTCTGAGCCATTGCAGCCAGCGCTATATTCGTTACCTTTTGAAGGGATTATTAATAAATTAGTGGTCGTTGTTGAAATAAAATCGCTTATGGTTAATAAGTGCAGCATTGCAGTCCACAAATGGGTGATAGAATAGTGGTAAGTGTAAGAGAGAAGGCAAAACTCACTAATAAACATCGTCTCGTTGGTTGAATAACAAAGGCCTTTATAGAAGAAATTCTCCGGCTCTGATGCTGTGGTATGACATTTTGCAAAAGGCATATATTGGTCACAGTTGCTATCGTCATTACAGCCATCCACTTGACCTTGTGTGGACGCGATGTAGAGCGGTTCGTTCATCATCGGTCTGCAAGGAAAATTATTGGTACCATTCAATATTTGGTACCATTCATTTCCTTGGTATTATTTGTACTATTTATCTGCGAAAGCCAAAATGATAAAGCTTCCGATAAGTTGTTAAGGCAGTGGTAGTGGGTCATTTCGCCCGTTTTGGTCGTAATCGAGTTCACAGTCAACACATAAGAGAATATTATTTGAGAGCTGTCAAAAAGGTGTTAAAGGAAATCTTCCACGGAAGACTGCTCATCCTTTCCTTGTGTACAGGTGTTGGGCATGGTCATTGAAGACCATATGCAAAGTTCAGAGCGAAAATGATGAAACCCCCAAGAGAAACAGCCCTTGGAAAGACCCATCTGTGGGACCGGATTGGACCAGTAGGCGGGACCGGAAGTGCTTCTGTGACGAAGTGCATGGCAGGTGCGGATCCACGTGTCAGTTTATGGGAAGGGCCCAACATGAATCCTGTTCACGTTCACGCTTTTGACACGTTTGCACGTGTTGACTCCACGCCGCTAACAGTTGTGGAAGTTTTACAGCGGGAATTCAAAATTTTCATAGTCGAACTGGTTATCATAATTATTATCAAAACCATCGCCTATGTTCCGTTCTTTTTGCTATCTTCATGAAGCAAGGGGCCTAAGGTATCGTTTTTTTTTGTAGGAATGGAGGCGATGTTTTTCCGTGGAAGATTCCTAAGGCGGGTAAAGGGATCAAGAAATTGTGCACACAAATAATTTTTGAAGAAGACACAACTCAAAAAGACTGCCAGTGCTGAACCTACATAGTGAAAGACGGCTAGGAACTACATTCGAAGAACACCCTGCAGATCCACTAATCCCTACAAAGGGATTGTGGGCGGTGTTGGAATCTACCGACTGGTCTCCGAACACCAGAAACTGCCACGGTGTTGAGGGTGGTGGTCGATTTGAAGATTATTAGCAGAACGACAAAGTGGTCCGATTCGTCCCAAAACAGACGAACCTTCGCTTCCACCAACCCCGGGGCTCATCAGTGAGGGGTTGATGTAAACTAAAAGGAGTCAATATTACCAAAGCGGAGTCACGTATCTAAATGAACTCACCCCACAGGCAGGGTGAATAACGGTCGAGGAAATCCTCGACCATAGCTCTCTACCATGCGAGAGTAGTGCCGAGAGTGAACATCCGCGCGGAGAGCACAGACGGCACGGCATGGCGAGTGTGAATGTCCGCGCGAGAGATCGTCTCTGATCGGGCAGAGAATCCTCGACGTGCCGTTGAGGAATCCTCAAGCGATATTCACCCTGCAGGGAGTCTTGAGGTGGCGAGGAACATTACTGGAACCCTCAAGATCCATGACTCACCGTTTACAGCTACATTCTAAGGGCCGCCATCCAAGGCTTGGCCACAGTGGTAGGACTGGCTACGGGTGACAACTTACAGAAACACTCACTCAATTGGGAAGAGGTGTTGAGGCTGTCATGCCTTCAACGAAAGTTACCTCTGATCCTTCTTATAATCCCTAATTTTCAGGATGAAGTGAGGGACTTCTTAGAACTGCGCTAGTGAGTCAACGTGTATTTTCTTTTAATTTTGAGAACATGTTGAACAATGTCTCAATGTTCCTACTTAGAACCACTGAGAAGGGCGGATCTGGTGAAGCTGATGGTGGAGCATCGCAATCACGTGAAGGATTACTGTGCAGGAAAAACTCACGGATTGTTAAACACGCAGGCAAACGCAGTCATTGGCGGCATTCCTGCATTGTTGCACACTTGATAATGACATCCATACTCAGTCGATTTGTAGTGGACCATCTGAAAGATGAACGAAAATTCTGGGCTATTTTCCTGACCCAATGAAATCTGGGCATTAATTGAGGGGAACAGCATATTTGTGGGAGTTTCCTTGTACGCTTATTTATTCGATTCTCTTCTCCTCTACCGGTGATGACGTTGAATTCGTCATATTACATTCTTTATTGTTTTTCGCCTCTCACCTATGCTTCTACATTTAAAACAGTAAAGGACTGTTTGGTGTCAATTAAATGTGGGCAGAACGTGGCAAATAATGTAGCAAAGTAAAGGAAATTGAAAAAAAAAATGACATCGATTGTGTGTGTGACCAAAGATTTGACTGTTTGGATTGAAATGCACTAGCAAAATGAGCATGGAGCAACAACCATAGCGGTAGCGGAAGCTCCCGTTTGTCATGGAGACGTGGTAGTTAAGGGTTCGGAAACCTGACAGTGTCGCAACTAGCGCACCTTTGGCCGCGAAAACACCAAATTCCCCTTTTTTTGCTGTCTGACTACCGTTTTCGTTTATGAAAAAACTCTCCTGTTGTGAAACAGTTCACAGAATCTACCTGCCCTTGAATGCGCACTGATTACGATAAGATCCAAGAGGTTTAGTGGAGATGTGGTGGTGCTCAGTGGTACGTCGGCGGCAAGAAAACGGAGAAATCCGTCAAGAAAACGCAAAACGGGACCCTCCTTTTTTGGCCGTTGGAACAGGTGACAGCTCAGAAAGGGGGCGTATGAACGAGTTCGACGCACGCGTTTTAACACCATGCCCACACTCCAACCGATTTGCTCCAGTTGTGCCGCGGGGGCAAACGCTGCTCGTCCAAATTGTCAACTGAACCAGTGGGCGGATCGCTTTTGAGGGCGGAGCGCTTTCGGAGTCCTGCCCAACCTGTTTCGTCGTGAAGATAGCGCTGACAGCTCGCTTCCCTGGCCAGTCAAGAACGGTTTACGTGTCGCAGTAGCTTCCCCAATGCGTCCCCATTTTGTCGTTAGCTCTGACCCTTGAAGATCTAAGAACGGCCAAAAAAAAAGCACTGCGCTAAAATGAGAATGCTGGGATAGGCATGGGTCTGGACGCGACCGGACAGGGTCAGAAACAGGGATGTCGGAGCGGATGGAGACTGCCCGCGTCCGAATGAAGGGTGGGGGAACAGCGACTGCGATGAGTACTGGCATAAGCCAAAATGGCAAGAAGATCACCTGATAAGGAAGGCGCGGGACCTTGAGGCTCAAGGCAAGCGAGGAGCTCCAAAGAAAAGGTGGATTGACGTTGAGGACCTCACTCAGGGCTACGGCAGAAGATGCCGCGTATCTGACAAAGTGGTGAGACTGCGACTGTGCGGGATGACGCGAGGGGGAAGAAGAGTATCAGCCACCGTTACCTTTGAATATATTTCACATTTCAGAATCCATCGGAACGTATCTCCACAGCTTAGTCAACAACAAGGAGCTGAAAACGCACGTTAGCGAATTCCTGCAACTTTTCGTTGGTGTACATGACGTCGTTTCCTATCCCATATGTAAGCGGTTGTAGCTCCCACTGGCCAAGCGCGATGTCTGCCACCATTTCACTAGTTATGGAGGATGGTAAGTAACCAGTGCTGAAAAAATAGATAAATAAGAATGTGGTATATTTTCCATTTCTTCAAAAGTGCACGAGAGCTTCAAGCGAAAAGAAGTCATTAAGCGAAAAGAAGTCGCTAACGAGAAATAATTCATCGAGACTTCTTTGTCAGGTACAGTCTGATTTCCCTGAGTGCAATTGAGGATCCTCAGATAGGCCAACATCTGCAACTCGCTGTTCAAATCCTGAAAAGTTCTCAATCAGTTTCTTTCTGGAAATCTAAAAATATTGTTTGGTGGTGAGTTCACTTTTGAACATTTTGAAAATGGTTGGGCACTGAATAGTAAAGCCCGAGAGAGCGCGAAAGGAATGATGCATAATAGAGGCTCTTATTAAGAATTCCTACAAAAAGATGGTTGGATTGTACAAAAAGTGTGTTTTGCCCTACGATGAGTGTGAGCATAAATCACAGGAAGAACGAAATATGCATGCAGTTCAGTCGTCGAAGTCGTCGAGGGCGCTATCCCAATATATGGGGCATCTTCTAGGACTCAGAGCAGGAGGAGGCGGGAAGAGAGAAGGGAATCTGAGCCCCTTCTCCTCCACCTGAGGCTTGAGGCTTGGTCCCATTCCTGACAGAAGGAGATGCTTCACGCGGTTCAAAATGCATTGCCTTCACAATGCCCCCCATCTTGCGATAGGGCCTCAAAAATCATCTCTGTTCCTTATCCCTCCCTGAGAAAGTTTAATCCTAGTATCACGTGACCCATGCGCCCTTGTATCTGACCCCGAATCACCACTCGACACTTCTAAACATGTAAACATTTACACACGGTGCAGAAACGTGGACAGGTGTTATGAAATGACCCCGTATATTGCGATAGCGCCGTCGCCGAGATGAACACGTCTTCAGATGCAGAGATCAGGCTAAGGCAAGAGGGCGTGAGCCCGATCATGACAATGACCGCTCTGTGTAAGTATCTCAGAAGTTTAGAATATTCTGAGGCAGAAATCACCGCGGTGTAGGTCTTTGCATACTAAACTGTATTTGAGCTAAGCTTTTTCAGGAGCTCTTTAGGAGGCGAGCCTTAGATTATGATATGAAGTCCCACATTCCGAGAGTGGAAATTCACATGAAAGCTACTGAGAACTATTCAAAATATCTATGGGTGGTTTTCAAACATGTAAACATTAAGTGGCTTACTATTGTGAACATTGACAAGGTGCTCGGTAAATATCCGCCAGCCATAAGTGCAGTTCCGTTCGCTACTGACTGTCTGAAGTAATTGAGCTTCTCGCCGACGTAAATGTTTAGCTCCTGCTCTGAAATGAATAAACGTTTGTTATGTTGATGTGATTCTCAAGGGATGCTTGAAGCTCCACAGAAAAGCGGCGTTCCTAGAATAGGGGCTATAAAGTCATAAAACCCGGCACCCATTATAAACTGTAAAACCAGGAAGCAGCATGCTCAAACTTCAAAGCTCCTTTTCCTTAGTCGAAATAGAGGGCTTCAGCCACTCCTGTGAACGATTCCATGGACGTGCTGATTATTGGCATATTCGAGAACAAAAAGGAGATAGCGAACATCATCGCTCGATCAATTCCTATGGCCTAACAATATCTCAGGTCATGACCCTTCTCCAGGAGTGTCTGTCATGCAATGTATTCAAATGGTCGGGCGAGTATTACAAACAGATCAGAGGGTTAGCAATGGGCCAGAGGCTTGCCCCAGTACTCGCAATAACATTCATGTCAAAAATTGAACAACCTGTTTTACAGCGAAGACCCATCCTGTATTGTCGGTATATAGACGACTGCTTTATTGTGTGTTCCACTCAAATGGAGATGGACACATGCTTCGAGCTGCTGAATCAGCAATCAGAGTATATAAAGCTAACGCGAGAGAAACCGACAAGCAGTTGGCTCGCTTTCCTCAATGTACAGGTTCAGATCACAGCGGGTACTTTCAAGACAAAATGGTATCGCAAGCCTGCCAGCAAGAACATACTAGTGCATTTCACTTCAGCCCATCCCTCAGGTACTAAGAAGGCCATCATTAGAAATATGGTGCACACGGCCTCAAAAGTTTCATCAGGAGATGAAGAGAAGGCGGAGTCGGTGAAAAAGGCGCTTTGCATAGCACAGGCGAACGGTTATAGAACAGTAGAAAACCCTTCAGGACGAAGAAGGCGATTGGTCGCTAGGAATCGTAACGAGGAGGAAGGAACAAAAGTTTCCTTCTGTGTACCATTCATATCTGACGAACTTAGTGCGGCCATTCGTTCCTGTTTAAGAAAGGCAGGTCTTCAGGACATGGTGAGAGTTGTAGACATCCCGCCTGCAAACCTCAAAGAACGATTGGTGCGAAATCGCATGTATGATCGCCTGTGTATAACCCCCTCCTGCGTAATATGTCCATTTGGGAAGGAGGGGATTGCATGACATCCGGTGTTGTGTACTTAATTTCATGTCTTCAGTGCAAGGAGGAGTATATTGGGGAAACAGGCAGACCTCTTTGCATTCGTATAAAGGAGGGAAGAATGTGTTGCGGTCACTACGGAGCTGGCGCCCTTTGCAGCGTTGTGTGGCTTTGATCTGCGTGATCGATCCCCCGCGGGGTCTGCTCGGGGGCGGGGTCGGGGGCTTACACAGTAACCGATAGGAAAGGTTGTTGACAGGGGTCAGCGGGGCGCGCCTAGCCTCTAGCAGCCTTTTGGGGTGTCTTGATCATTCAACCCTCAGGAGGGTCCTTAAGCAAGTGACCTTGGGGCTTCACCTATTTAAGCCGCATTACTGTCAGCTCAGGGTGGCAGGTGGACCTCATTGGTCGACTTTTCTAAAGGTTAGTTGTCTTTTTCTGTCCCACGACGTCGCCCTAGTAGTTTACCCCTGCTGAGCGATTCTTGTAGGTTGAAATAGTATTTGGACGGGTAGTTTCGTAAATGGCTTTCCTCTTTCCAGGCTCTGAAGAAGGCGAAAGCGCCGAAACGTAAGCCAAATAAAAGTTGTTATCAATCTTGGTTGGAGCTTATTCACTATACTGACATATTCTCTACGACTCATGCCAAGATTCATTGAGAGTCGCACATGGAAAAAGGAGATAGCTTTCTCTCTCAGGTGCTCTTCTTGACAGTACTAAGTTTCAAATGGTCAAAAATAGCTAGAATTTGTGTAAAAAATTCGGCAGCACCTTAGGAAACTCGTTACCTTTGGTAGTAGTTATAGCAATAGAGCTGCATTTGCTCCTCAAAACTTGGGGGTTTCCACTTATGGTAGCTTGCACATTGGATTAAGTGGCACTGTACTATCAGCTCCCATCAAATATGCACCACCGAAAACGCATAACACTCGATTAAAAGATGATGGTGGGGGCAGGCAATCATGAAGAGTAAGGCCGACGTCATACTTTGCGATTCGATTAGCGAATAGCTGGCGAATCGAGCGAATCGCTAATCGAATCGCAAAGTATGACGTCGGCCCAAGGAGGCCATCATGATAGCGCGCTGAAAACGTGCTTTTCGTTGATTATTACAGTTTTTCGTGAGGGCTCTCGCCTTAATGCGCTTCCGAAAAGTTTTTGAGGAGATGGGAACGCTGTAAACTTACGCATCTCCAACTTTTCTTGTCCGCTCCCGCGAATGAGCAGGATGACCTGAAATTTGTTTTTTTTAAGATGCTATACATAGATTGATAAAAGTGGACTAAACTTAGTCAGCTAGCCTTCTGCGAGTTCTGAGATCAAAACGGCGAATGGGCTAGCTCTAGCATGAGCAGAACACTCAGACAGGTTCAGATGTTCGGAATCAGTTTTCTCGCCGAGACCGCGATCATAGCCTGCGCTACGCGCTTGCGTTTGCGTGGCCTACGCAGAGCTTGATTATCACGAACAACTTCTATTGACACCTCAACTTAGCAAGCTTCTGCAAATCCACCTTTCCGTATCCACCATAGCGAGAAGGTTCTCATATCGCAAGGTTTACGCCTAGAACCCGGATTGGGTCAGGATGCAGGTCGCTGCGACTCTCACATATCCTAATCCTCGACTAGGCCTATGCCAACACTTTCGCGTCGGGTCAATTATGTGACTGCAGTGTATATTAATTGCCATTTATTTGAGGAGGATCTAAAAATTCTACAGATTTGCCCATCAGGTCAGTTGTCATCTTGCTTGAAAGTCTATGGAAACCTACGATACTTATAGGAAAGGAACAAAGGAAAGAGTGTATAAAATGGATCGAACCAGTGGGAGCCCCTCGATTTCCACGCAGTCCTGGAAAATGGACGTAAGCGAACTTAAAGGAAGGGTGCACGGCACTTTTCGCTGCAAATGCCGCCTGCGCGATGCCGCTTTCATCGCGTCGCCGGGACCGAAGCCTCCTGCCCCATATGGCTCTTTTGCGACTACACGTTCACCGAACATGCAGATAGGCCACAAGAGGGATGTGATTGCCAATAAAAAGGAAATTCTGCACCTACCAGAAGTAAAAGTGGAACCATGGTGTGGCTTTGCCTCGAACGTGCAAACTGTTGCCTCTGTGGGCTTTTATAAGGATAGGTACGTGCGGTTTAAGGCCATAAGTTGCTTCACGTCTCTCCATTCAGTGTTGTTGCAGCTGTCATAACAGAAACTCTTTGGGACAAGATGAAATCAACCTAGCAGTTCGAAGCACCATTATCGAAAAGCTTTTTAGGTTGGTAACCAAACGCGGACACCCTTCGCACCTGCGAAAAAAGCAAATTTGATGAGCACTGATCGAAGAGGCATTGCTGAACTAATATCAATTATTCTCTATTTCTCTCTTCCTGCAACCTCGGCATGCTAGTAATTATGCTGAATTTCTTGTGTCTCGCGAGGTTCTTTGGTTAAACCTTTATTTTAGTAGGCTAAGGCGTCTGCTGAATCGCCTTTTCGGAGGCCAACGGATGAGCGGAAAAGTCTGTTGCCACCTTATAGGGCTAGTCAGTTGTGAAATGATGTTGAAATGTTGATAATGATGTCCACTGGGCACCTGTATCACCTGTCGTCCCGTTGATCATCGATTTGCTCGAGCGGGCGCCAGCAACGTCTCCATTCGTCCCTGTCGCGTGCTAGAGTGGTCCAGTGGATCCTCCTCGCTCGAGGGACACGAAGTCCTTCATTCCTTTCGTTCAGAGCTTTCGTGAAGAAGTCTGACCATCGGGCCGGCGGTCGTCCAGGTGTTCGTTTGACGTCCCGAGGGATCCAGTCGGTAACCGCTCTGGTCCAACGGTCATCGCAAAATCGCATGACGTGTCCGGCCCACCTT